AAATGTAAAATTAATGTAAATGCAAAGTAATTTTATCAATGAAATACAAATGGGCCCTATTGTCTTTACACCTACGTACTTTTTTTGTGTAGCATAATTGGCACCATATTATGTACCTGTTTATTCACCGGTTAAACAATTAAATTAATAATTGCCTACCAAAGAAAATGATGGAATACAAAAAAGGTTTTAAAATAGGATGAATGCTAAAAATAATCCTAGCAACTATCTATTTGATTTTTCCGTGGTTTAAAACCTTTACAAAGACCTATTTTTTTCCTGTGATAGACTTAAAAATTTTCATAGTCGTGTTTTCCCCTGGAATTCATTCTAATAAATCAAGACAATGACAAATCACCTGTTTTCTTTTCAAAAAAGTGAAAAATAGAAATATATTTATCTACATCATAATAAAGTGAGAAACTGTTTTCAATTTTAGATTAATGGGTGTAATGAAGATAATTAAAAGAATATGACTGATAATTTACTCCAAAACAACACCATTAAGTTTTTAGTTTTGGACAAGTATGACCTATTGACAAAATTGAAATATAATTTTGCAAATCGAGCACTAATTTTTCGCTAACTATATAAATATATATAACTACTCTATTAAGTTTTAAGTTTGTTTAAGTAGAGCCAAAATTTAAGAATAATTTTACAAATCCCACACATTTTTTATCTTTATTTATTTATTCATTTATTTATTTATTTTTTAAGGGGGGGGGGTCTATTTTTATTACAACACCACACACATAATACTTGGATAGATAGTCTATGCAAATATTTGAATACATTAAAAAAAAGGTCCAAAATGTTTTAACAGCCTTTTATAAAGTATTGAATTTGACAGTATCTCAAATCAAGATTTTTTTATGTAACTTCTGTTTAATATTGAAATGTTTTACTTATTACAGCCATACAGGCCATCTTATAACTAAATTGTATGACAAACGAAATTTCAGCTTCTAAATCATTAACTTTCCTTATCAAGATACATAATATTCCGCTATTGCATGCACATGGTATTTATCTCGTTTGAAGTCACTATTTCGCAAGTTTAATGGTCGATACAATGACCTTGTCAGCAATACAACATTTCATTGAGTCAAATGCTGACTAACGTTTTTCATACTGTTAGACCATTATTTATACACTGAACTGTCTAAAGATTTTTCTTGGTTTTTTTTCGATCATGACAAGGAGCACCACACGGCGGGTGTGACCGATCGGCAAGGGATGCTCACTCCTACATGGCACCTTATCTCACCCCTAAATTTTGAGGTCCGTGTTTGCTCTGCTCCAAATTTGTATCGTTTCATTGAACTTTCGAGATTTAATACTGTTCGTTATCTTCATATTTCATCTCCCAACTTGATACTCAAGTGCACGCTCGGAGAACGATCAACTTTTAAACCGAGGCAGGCTACTGACAATTTTAAGTCGATGTTACAATGATTTCAACAGCCTCTTTTAAAATCAGTATTTCGTAAATTATATGGTCTTCATAATGAACATGTTGTCAAATACAACCTGTCAATGGGTCGTATTTTGACTGAGATATTTCATATCGATTGTTTGGCCCTTATGTTTTGATTAAACTAAATTTGACTACAGAATATTCTGACAATCTGATCAATGCATAGGGCTTACGGCGAGTGTGACCGGTTGACAGGAGATGCTTACTCCTATGCTCCTGATCCTATCTCTCTGGAATTTTCAGAGGGTCCTTATGCCCTATTCACAGATTGTACTGTTTTTAGGTTTTTGGTTTTTTTTTTCTTTAGATTGATCATTGTTCGTTAACCTCACCTTTTTCATTTCGTTTATTTTTTTAAACATAGAGATCAGTTTTAAGAGCGCATATTTTGTAATATTTGCCTTATTTAAATGATTTTCCTTGGTAACCTAGATATCTCATCACTGTAAAAACCGTGTTTAGAAAATAAACACTTCCATTACGTGTTTAGACCTAAACATGTTTAATATTATGTTTAAAAACTAAACACTTACGTCTTAACATGTGTTATATCTAAGCGCGTTTAGATATAATACGTGTTTAGATATAAGTGTTTAGAAATTGAACACTTTTCTTTGAAATACAGAGTTATCTTCCCGGAAATGACGCGTATATATTTGAACGTTTATTAGAGCGGTTATCGAAACAAAGAAAATCCGAATGTAAGCTAAAGAAGATGTATCAAAGGATGTGAATGATAACCATAGTGATAACCATGAAGAGATTGTGAAGGACATTTGAAAGGCAACATCACTACGATAGAAAGACTGTTTGCTATTTTTATTTTACATGAATTGACCACAATGAGCAACGTAAATATAAACATGCAGTTACGAATGTAGATCAAGATTTCCTTCGGTTATTTTGCATTCATGAAAGCTAGAAAGGAGTATCTATATCGAATTTCGTTTAAAACATCTATATCAGTATTAGCACTATATAATAGTTAAATGAGTTTCAATAAAAAGCTGCACAATAATGTCTATCAAAACAAATGTAAAATTTCAGTGAGGAGCATACTTTTACTATAATTTAAATTCCTTTCTTACAGGATATGGTCCAGATCGAACTTAAGGTCAAGATCTAGTAAATAAAAGGAGCCAATAAATTTCTCAAATTTGAAAAATAAATTCTTTTAATGAAGCTTTATAAGTATAGCTTGGTCAAATAAGGTGTTTCGGGGCATAACTTGTAGGTAAGCAAGACGAAAAATCATATTTTAAATTGTCATTTTCATTGAAAAATTAAGAAAATCAGTCATGAATATGTGAGTTTTTTTCCATATCACACAAATTAAATGTATCCAGATTGCCTACAGTCTCTCAAAAAAATGGTTATTTGTATGTTCTTAGCCTCTTCTTTAAAATAATATTAAATTGAATATAGGTGTCGGAATCACTTTTCACATTTGAATTCCAGGAAAATACTTTATTTTCTACATAATTCTATTACAGTCGTAAAGTACGGGAAAAAAAGGTTTTATTTGATTATGACGTCATAATGGATCTAGCATCAAAAATGCAGTCTAAAATCATTTACTAGATCTTGACCTTAAAAGCAAAAACACATGTATCAGAATAACTGGTGTCATCTCCAAGTTCAAGTGCATTTTGTTGTTACAATTCAGCATTTCTAACGTTCTAGAGGAAACTGGAATTTGAAAAGTCTACTGTTCGGTAGTTTTGAATACCATTCTTGTACATTGGAAATGGATTACTTCCCAACTCCTGACAGTTGGATACAAATCATACACTGTATGTGTTGCTAGTGAAGGACTTGCTGAAGGTTGATAAATTTGATGAACCTTTTGTTACTGATGTGAGGAGTAACTGCTTGCTGAGCTGATTAATTTTGAAATTAACTGTAATAAATGATTATGTTTAAGCATACATGTATATTTAATTTAAAATTCTTTATAATAAATCTATGTTTAAATGTTCAGTGATGTTATTGATAGTTGTTCCTTTCTTGTGACATGGGTACCTTTGAAGTTAAAAATTTTGTTATCTATATATGTACATACCAGTGCATTAATATGCTGTATTTCTAGAAAACTTATCAAATACATTAAGTTTTCTTGTAATCGTTTATCATGTACTAAACAGTTGTTCTGGAACCAATGTTGTACAACTAAACATGTTAAGCAACTTAACACCTGAAGTTAAAATGTGTTTAGAAATGAGACGTGTTTAGAGCTAAACGTGTAAAAAAAAAAAGTGAAACAAATTATGTGTTTAGCTAAAAGTGTTTAGGGAGTAAACATGTTAAGCAACTTAACACCTGAAGTTAAAATGTGTTTAGAAATGAGACATGTTTAGAGCTAAACGAGTAAAAAAAAAAGTGAAACAAATTACGTGTTTAGTTTTGTGTTTAGGATCTAAACACTGTTTTTACAGTGCATGTTCGTTTATTTTTTAAAATTACTTTCTCCACTCATTAATTTTCATTGTTTCCCTTTAAAAAATAATAATTTCCAATAAATCATTTATACTCCCAGCTCTCTGCTTTAATTTTTTTTTTACTTGTGCTAACCATCGATTTTCAAATGTTAAAAAAAAATATAGGTGTTTTATTGCCTACCCTCAACAACAATCTAAATAATGGAGATTGTATTATAGTCACTTGGTGTCAACATTCTTCCAAACCACCAAAAAATCAATCCATCAATCAAAATTGTCCGAAAATGCATAGTTAAGGTGTCATACTTACACATAACGATTTGAAACACATCGAAATTCTACTAAATACTAGTGCAACCTCATCACAACTGTATTAAGCTCTGCATTACTTGCTTATTACACTTAGCTTCTGCAAGTTTCAGAAAGGAAACCAAATATTTGATAGCAATACATATCACGTGTTGTTTTATCTACTAATATTTGTTTATGGCTTCTTAATAAAACAATATGCTTCGATATGATGGTTATGAAAAACATTTAATATTGTCTTAGACTTACCAAAAAAAATCATTCTAGTTTATCTGAGAGTTCATATCTACAGAGTACGTTATATTACCTCATTTTCAATCAGTGAAGATTGTACATGTGGTGTGGTTTATTTTAAAGATGTACGTGTATCTTTGGTGGAAAAAAAAATGAGAATTTCTACAGTGCAGAAAAGAAAGGAATAAACCATTTCTAGACAGAAAACCCTGACTTCAGAATGTTCCTGCTCGTAAGAAAAGAGAAAATGTCAAATATTTGGTTTGCGTTCTTCCAAGACAATTTCTTTTCAATTAAGGGATGTATATTTTATCACGTGTTAGTCCGTAGTTTCTCCAATTATTCAATAATGAAATCCCAAAACGCTTACCTGATTTCCAGACAACCCTTGGAGACAGTTACAATACTCAATAAATTCTAAATTCTCACCCACCAGACAACTTCTTAATTGGCAGCACTCCCTCGACATATTTAGCCATCACAAAATACTGGGCATCTCAGAAGAAAAGCCTACTTCGTTTACGAAAAAATTTAATAAATTTAATAAAACAAAAGAACTTTTAATAAACACCTGCAATATATGTGAATCAGACAATTGTACGACAAGTTACTGGAGAGAAACTTCGTTTTGTTATTTTTAAGAAACAAATAACAAACCGTAGCATATATCGTAAAAATTTATTTTATATATATCTACATTTCATTGCACATAAACCCCACTGAATCTATATAATGTCAGTTTTCAGCTTAAATCAATTCAATAGTTTAATAATAACATGATTAAAATTTCAAAAAGGTAAAAAGGTTCAACATTCACAGAAAAATATTTTTACCAGAAATCAAAGCCTGATTCATCAACAATTTCACAACAAGCGATGTATTTTCTTTAAAACAGTATCATTGTATCTCAAACTGGCCAAGTATTCTGCCCTGTTGTATGCATAGTGGCGTGTAATATACATATAAAGATAATTAACTGCATTTAAAGATTGTCAAACATTTTTTTTTTTCAAACAAAAAATGCTTCTAAGAAACTTATATAAATAAAAGTTTACAAAACATAACTTATACTAACAGAATCGTTACATTATTAATTTCTTTTTAAGGTCGATTGAATAGTATTAAGAACTACCAATTCAGACTTATATGGCACAGTGTTTGTCCATGCTAAAAAAAATAACTCTGTGAATTCATCTAAGTAGTTAAAACAAGATCTGAAACAATAAAGCAATATATATGTCCTTTTAAAGAGAAGTAATGACAATCTCCAAACAGGAGCTCAGATATAATCCTCTTCATAAAAATGATATTAAGCTACTGACAAAAATTGAAAAGTCAATGATTTCTCCACATAAAGGCATACAACCAAAACATAAAACATATAACTAGCTGTCCCCAGAATAAGAATTGCTCTCTTCGTTTAATCAGCGCCTGAAAAAAAAAAAGGAGAAAATTACCGTTCCCCAACATAAAAATGTAATGTTGCCTATTTGTACGTAGTTCAAATATTTTTTTCGGAGTTCTTTTTTTTTAATTTTCAAAATTCAATCTCACCTTTTCTGTTGTTCGTGTCTAATTTGCTCAACTTGCTGATTTAAATTCTTGTGAAGCAATGTCAGGCTCTCCTAGAAAAAAAAAAACCATAATTCACTATAAACTGTCAATATTTTTCACTAGCTCTTTCCTTCTGTGGAATGTTGTCTAACATGAAGCTTACGCTATATAATCAACAGAAATTCAAACCGACTGGTTCAAAATGCTGGAGGAAAACAGCAAAAAATATCTTCTTTTTTTTCCTTTGAAGAAATTGTTTGGCATCGTATCAACTACTCAATGAAAATATCACTTACACACCACCATCTTCACAAGTTTTGAGATAAAACATTGCCTACTGTCAAAGATAATTTCAACAAGAGGCCCATGGGCCACAACGCTCACCTGAGTAACTTTGGCCTTGCTGTTTTTCACCTGATTTCTCCCCCCCCCCCCTTGTAGTACTTATTGTGGACCCGCCCTAACCCCAGGGGTCATGATTTGAACAATTAGAATCTACACTACACAGTATGCTTCCTTATAAGAGTTTCAGCCTTTCTGACCCAGTGGTTCTTGAGAAAAAGATTTTTAAAGACTTTTTCTGCATATTTCAATGTAAAACTTGGATTCCCTATTGTGGCCCCGCCCTACCCCCGGGGGTCATGATTTCAATAATTTAGAATCTACACTACCCAAGGACGCTTCCACATAAGTTTCAGCCTTTCTGGCCCAGTGGTTCTTGAGAAGAAGATTTTTAAAGATTTTTTTTATATATTTCAATGTAAAACTTGGATTCCCTATTGTGGCCCCGCCCTACCCCCGGGGGTCATGATTTCAACAATTTAGAATCTACACTACCCCAGAATGCTTCCACATAAGTTTCAGCTTTTCTGGCCCAGTGGTTCTTGAGAGGAAGATTTTTGAAGATTTTTACAACTATATACTTCATGTAAAACTTGGATTCCCTATTGTGGCCCCGCCCTACCCCCGGGGGTCATGATTTGAACAATTTAAAATCTACACCACCACAGAATGCTTCCACATAAGTTTCAGCTTTTCTGGCCCAATGGTTCTTGAGAAAAAGATTTTTAAAGATTTTTACTACATATTTCAATGTAAAACTTGGATTCCCTATTGTGGCCCCGCCCTACCCCCGGGGGTCATGATTTCAATAATTTAGAATATACACTGCTTCCACATAAGTTTCAGCCTTTCTGGCCCAGTGGTTCTTGAGAAAAAGATTTTTAAAGATTTTTTTTATATATTTCAATGCAAAACTTGGATTCCCTATTGTGGCCCCACCCTACACCCGGGGGTCATGATTTCAATAATTTAGAATCTACACTTCTCAAGGACGCTTCCACATAAGTTTCAGGCTTTTTGGTCCAGTGGTTCTTGAGAAGATTTTTTAATGACCCACCCAATTTTTGTATTTTCTTGATTATCTCCCCTTTGAAGGGGACTTGACCCTTCATTTTAACAATTTAAACTCCCCTTCACCCAAGGATGTTTTGTACCAAGTTTGGTTAAAATTGGACCGGTGGTTCTTGAGAAAGAAGGAGTTGGAAATGTGAAAAGTCAGTTACAATACGCAGACCATCCACATGTACAGTAAGAAGAGAGATGTCTGAATGAGATCTATCCATAGGATTTAGATGAGAGGATAAGGCACAGGATAAAAGGTATCTTAGTGCATGTTGGAATGATATTTTTTAAATGACGTATTATGAGAGCTAAAAGGCATCTTGGTGCATATTGGGATGACATTTTTTTTTAAAGAGCCACGTGTTATGAGGGATAAAAAGGCATCCTCGTCTAAGCAGGGCGTGATTCCATTTTGCAGTCAAGTTTTATCAAGCCAATTAATGGGAGAGAAAAATCATAACCTAAAATGAGCTAGACGGATGGATCAAATATGGAGATAACGAACAATGAAACTCAAAAGTCCATAGAAAAAATACAAATCAGGAGCAAACACGAACCCCTAAAAACATCAGAGGTGGGATCAGGTGCCATGGCGGAGTAAGTATCCCCTGCCTACCGGTCAAACCCGCCGTGTGCTCCTTGTCTTGATCGGAAAAACGGAAAAAACCGTTGCATTCAATGCGTAAATAATGGCCTAAATACACGATAAAGAGTGCATCACAGTGAAAAAAAATTCAAACTTTCAAATTATAGTAATTCAAATTATGAAGGGAAAATGAAACAGATTGCCTTCCGTTATATGCACCAGTAAAAGTAAATAATAAATCCCCATGGAAACTTTTCCAGTAAACACCAAATTTCTGCACAACTTTGAATTTAAAGCGAGTGTCTCCCGACGGTGCCATAAAGCCTATTGAAAGGTTCACCAGTTCTCCATATTTCAATTAGAGATACCAGGAATCGCGTAAAGGAGTGGCAAAGAGTCTTTAAATTCGTTATTCTTACAGATTGTTACATTGTTGTAAACCACTCTTGTTAAAGAAGATAATGGATATTTCAAATAACAATCTAAATCGGAACCAGAAAGTAGGTTTATTGGCCCGTGTAGGCCTGCCTCACATCCAAACTTCCTCTGTGAAGTCATTTTATCTAGATTGTTATACATTGTATTTTAATCAACAGAGAGAAACACATGTGTAAAATTCCGTACTTATACAAAAATCTCAACAAATAGAGACTGACCAATGAGATTTATAGGATATACGTTGCTTTATTTAGTCCCGCTTCAGTATACTGACAAACATACCTTCATGGAAAAACCAATGCTTACTTCAATTTATTTGAAAATTAAAAACGATGGAAATTTTTGTCAATGTAAAAAATATGGAGGTTACTTACGTTTTCCTCTCGTAGTTGTTTGAACTCCTCAGCTAAGCGAGTACTACACATCTGATTGTGTTCATCCTGTTCAAATTCTTTGATCAAATCATTCCTATAATATATATAGACCATGTGCTTAGCAACTAAAGAAATTGTAAAATGAAATGAGAATTCATAAAGAGCTCGCTAAAAAGACAACGTATAGGAATATGAACTCAAAATCAATGCATTTTAAGATTTTGTATAGTTTTTCACTATTAATACTTAAATAGCTTCATTTTGCATTAAAATTTCTGTACCAGCACTAGTTGGTGGACTGTAATTAGTTTAATGTAAAGTTGTGTTGTTTATTTTCTAGAATAAAAATTTGTCGTCATTGAACTAAACAAGGGGAGGTCGATGACCTTGCTGTCTCTTTGGGTTTTCTTAGATTGAATTAAGTATTTCTGCATGAAATCATGATATTAAAATATTATTTTGATAAATGATTATAGAGTGTCACAGAAGTCCATAAAAAGTATGAGGGAGAGAGTCAATCAGAACATTTAATTCGTTAGAAGAGTTCTTCATTTCTTAGTGCCGCCTTAGTAGTCTTGGATATCGTCTAATAAATCACGTATCTCCCCAACTATTGGATTGTACTCACACAAAAAGACATTTATTTCCTTCCTCCGTGAGAAATATGCCTAAAGCAGATAAAATTACACAGGGCACTTGCTTCGAAGCCAATTTGGGATAATTTGGAAAGACGCTCAAATTGCTTTCACAGAATTCACCTCACAATCATCCCTTTCTTGTACAACAATCATTTCTAAAAACGGTTACGACTAAAATCTGATCATTACTTCATCAAATTTTCTGAATATTTTTTTCTTTTTCTTCAGTTGTATGAAACTTGCATTCTATTTACGGAATGCTTTGATTTTTGATTAGATTTGACATTAGATGTAACATATGTTGAGCAATAATTTATTTCTGTCGTGCACCAATCATAGAAATCTATTTCCCGTCGCTGTGGCAATGAGTGCAGAGAACAGTGCAATATCTTGCATCACATTAAGAAAACGAGACTAAAATAGCCCGAAGTTTCCAAAATAAAATCTACCTCTTGACTAATTTTAGCATTACAGGGTAGCAGATATCAACTTAAATACATTGTTTTGCATAGCTTTTAAAACTATAATCATTAAAAAGACAAACTTGAATAGTATGACAAATAAAACCTTCTGATCCAAATCAAAATAGCATGGTAATAGCAGTTAAATGGCCATTGACCTTACATCGTATGATAAAAAGTCGGCCATCTATCTGGCAGAGAAGTACGATTAAGACCATAAGATGATCAAATTTACAATGGAAAATCAAGAATCAAGATATATTAGTAACTGTAATTGACCCAGAATTATTTTGTGTGATTCATTCTATATCAACTAATATATATACTGAGGATAAATAAAATTCGTGAAGGCTTATTTTCGGGGATAGCTTAAATTTTACAGGTTCGTGGGAACATAATTTCTTGTACCTACAAAAGGAAATATGACTTCGTAACCATAGTTTATTAATTAAGGAGGATGTCAATTCGGGGATGAGAGGTACTCACAAATACCACGAAAACTGAGCCACCACGAAATCTAATGTTTCCACAACAATAAAAGCTTCATAAGAATGTTGATTTTCACGGTAAGCTAATGGCAAAAGTATATCATTGTGGTGAAATTTTTGATACTATACATTGTATTCTATTACATCATGAAATATGGAGATAACGAACGGTATTCAAGCTCAAAGTCCATTTAAACAATACAAATCGGTAGCAGAGCACACAAGGACCTTCAAAAACATCAGAGATGGGATCAGGTGCCATGGAAGAGTGAGCATCCCCTGCCGCCCGTTCACGCTCGCCGTGTGCTCTTTGTCATGATTAGGAAAAAACAGAAAAATCCCTAGAAAATTCAGTGTGTAAATGATGGCCTAAAAATTAGTATACAAAAAGTCAATCAGCATTTGACTAAATGACAGGTTGTATTTGCTGACAAGGTCATTGTATCGACCATAATACTTGCGGAAATGTTGACCTCAAACGAGACTGTTGATGTCCTTGTTTCATCTACTTGTTTGTTAATAGCTTGTCTCGTTTTAGAAGTAGAGCATGCTTTTGCGTATCGAATCAACTTGGAGACAAAACCCCAGATGCAGGTGATAACGGTATATTTTTACTTAAGGGAAGTTGATGATTGAAAAATTGAAGTCATCACGTTCATCATAAAGCTTGGTTGTTAGTTTACCATTAATGTCTTTTTCTAGTAAAACATCAAAATATGAGAGATGTGGCAGACTCTGTGGTATCTTTTATTTCAAGCTCAGTGGGATATATCGAGTCGACATATGTTGTTAATTGATAATACGTCGTCGATATATTTAAATATCGAGTTGAAGGCCACAGTAAGTGTTTTCTTCTTCTCATGAAGAAGTTTTTGAATAAAATGAAAAAAAAAAAGATTATATGAAAATGAAATGTGAAGATAACGAACAGTGATCAATCTCAGAAGTCCATGTAATCAAAGCAAATTATGGGCAGAGCCAACACAGTCCTCTGAAATCAGAGAGGACAACACGAAAATTCCCATTCTGTATACAATATATTTGTCTTTTCTGTCTCATACTAAAGTTCTGATTTATAAATCCGGTCAAGAGCACAAATTTTTCCATCATTTCTGAAAAGTTAAAACTAAAAGATTCTGTTCTTTTCATCTTACAACAAAAATATTTCAAAGTGGATAAAAAGGATTAACACTAGTTCAGAATTTTCATTTACATGCTGTTTTTCCCCCTTCTGTTAGAATATTTCCAAAAATTTAGAATTTGTGATTTTATAATACACATTTTCTAAATATGAGGAATTTCTCTTAACGTATATGGAAAGTTCTGTCAACATAATACCGGTATATTACCTTGTCAGAACCAAAAGAGAAAGTTCCGTCATCATAAGAAATTTCTCTACGCCAACAGAAAAAAATTCTCTTAATATAATATACTTACTTTTTCTGAACCAACAGAAAAAAAATCTCTAAACATAATATACATCCTTTCTCTGAACCAACAGAGAAAAATTCTGTCAACATAGTACATTTATATTATTTTTCTCTTAACCAAAAGGTATAGTTCTGCTAATATAATATACTTACTTTCTCTGGACCAGTAAAGACAGTTCTGTCTGTACTTTAAGGTATTCTTCTGCTAACTGAAAAAGTGAGGTAAACATTAATAAGAGAAACAAAATTGATTCTTGTAACTATGCTGATCTTTCACATTGTAATCCATTCACTTAGTTGACAAAAACAAAGTTTTACAAAAGTCAGTGTCCTCCGTAACAATACAACTTTAAAAAATTTATACTAGATTTATACTATATATGTGTTCATAATATTCTGTCTGATACTGTGAAATATCAATGATTTTGATCCCGAAGAACTTAATGAAGAACGACCAACAGATTGAAATATGGCTAATAACTGATAAAAAAAAAATCGTCATTTCCATTCTATTACTCTTCAAATCTGTTGGTGACACAACTATTTGTGTTCCGCAGAGAATGTTAATCTATAGGAGATCGATTTTGGTCATTTCATGCTTTGTCCAGTGTTCCTGATCTTTTCCAATCAATTATGAGGATTCCCAGAAGCTCCATACCACAATTACATCTTAATACCACTTCTACATAGAATTCTCCTGCTCAAGTGTTTACAATCATAATAAATATTTGTCGGTATGTTTGGGATCACATGATCATTAAGAATTGGTATACAGAGCTGATGATGCCTTAAACCCTTTTCTCCTCCGTTTAAGGGGTGAACATCAATACATCGGTCTAATTGCTACTTTTGGAGAATAATCAACCTATACAGAGTTTGTCCGCGGGAATAGATCGATCCTAACGGTGTTTTAGGATGAGAGGTGAATGATAATTTGAACACTTTTTGGCTCTTGCAGAAAAATACTTGTACAATTTTCCCTCCAGATGTGTCATTAACAATTGGTGGTGCCGATGACTTATGGGTCTCGATCTGTCTTTTGAGGTTTCTATATTTATTAAAGATATTGAATTTTTCAAGACACGATTTTCGGTACCTTTTAAAAATTTAACTTTGTCTTTAATATCCCACATATAGTTTATTTTATGACACGAATGCAAGTTATATGGTTCGAAAATCTGCATATATTTGATATTTTTTTTTTTTTTAAAAAGTTTCGCTAGTGTTTTTTTCCCACAAGCCAAATTTATGGTACTAGTTTTTCTGAAAAATTTAAAATCTACGCTTTATGGGAAAAAAAGTGCAAAATCGTTTATAGAATAAGAATTCAGATAGAATAAAAATTCAGTTCAAGAATAAAAATAGTTGTGCATGAGCTTGAACGGAAGTCCATTTCATGAAAAGTTTCGGATATCAATGGAATTAAAAACAGGTTTCCTGTGACACAGCAGCGTGGTTGTTCTATCTGTTTTTACCTAATTTGTTAAGGATATTGTCGGAAGGATGTAATGCATATATGAAATATTTTTACAAGTATCTATAGGCTAGTGTTGGAAATGTAGTGTTGAAATTTACGCAAATTTTCTTAATGAAGTCATTTTTTTTTATACATACATTGTATATCAACATTTTTCACTTTAATCACAGCGTCAAAATTTAACAAAGTAATCGCACTTAATTTAAATCACTTTTGACCACGGTACTTTAAAAAGTTTGCAATTTGCAAAATCAGAATTAATCCATTGAATGTTGTAATTCTAAACTTTTTCTAATTTTTTTTTATTCGTTGAAAAACTGAGCTAAGAGACGTTCTTAAACAGAATTTAGTAGCGTAAAAAAAATTAGGCTGAAAGATTATTGAGCCAGGAAATTGAGGCACCGTACATGAGGTTGACAAGGAAAAACAGATTTTTCAAAACGTTTCTGCTTTAAGAAATTAAACATAACATGTCCCAATCTTACATTTATCAAAATCTTAGAATGTCTCGGTATCTTTTCATGAAAACATCATCTTGTGACCTTCCATTTTTTTTTGTCTTAAAACAACCTGAAAGTTCAGTATTGATCAAGGTTCTAAAAACCCAAATTGTGTTCTAGCAAGTGTTTCATCACTGAGCATTATAAATTTTGAAATGATCCATCACCCCATCATTCTTTCAATGATATTGATTTCGTGCTTAAGACTAAAGGACATTTACAGACATTTAAAGACATCTGAACTTCAGGCTTTTTGTAGCTATCTCCATTTAACTTGCCACTGGGGAAATCCTAACTGGATCCAAATTAAATTTATAACTTCTAAGTCCTGTACTTCTGAGAATTGCTGACAGGAATTGAAATGTTAGATAAATGAAAGATTTAAAGTGAAATTTCATTGCCTTTAAGTTGGGAAATGTAATCCCTCTAGAGATTCCATCTAGTTCTTCTCCTGATAATGGACATAAGAACAGTTGCTGCTATTCTATTTCATGTAACAATATTTATCTTGTAAAGAAGCCATGTATCAACGTCTATGGTGTAGTGGGAACACTTAAAAATCTTGATTTTCCCCCAACAAATTTATTGACCAACTGAACTTATTCATGATGCAGTAAACGCGTATCATTTTTTAAGATATTTACAAATACCTTTCTTTTCATGAAACAGTTCATTTTACTATAAATATTTTACTGTAACACACTTTAACGTCAGGAAATCTTATCCTTTGAATTGAAATAGTCATTTACATGTAGGTCCTATCCTAACGAACCATATAATTTGGGATTAAAGTCTGTTATCAATCCCTAGTACGCAGGTGAGTTAAGGCTAGGTATAGGCAAATGCTATGCAAATAAACTAAATAAATGCCTAAAGGCTATATGTATTATACAGAGAAAGTTGAAACTTATTGTCTAATACATACTTGGTACCCACAACATGAGATAGCCAGTACACATTATGACGTCATATTATGACGTCAGTGTTCTTTACTACACAAGATTATAATGGACATCAACAAAAATGCTTCGGCGCAAGGGCATGCTCTTTTTTATTTAACTGATACAAGGTATATTCAGAAGCAAAATATTTCAAAGATTGCTGGTATTGCTGCACAAATATCAACAGCTCAGTTGTATAATTTCTATTTGTAAAGTTTTAAGTTGAATCAGGGTAAAAATGCACAGTCCGGTATACCTTTCCCCGAATTCTGATCAAATGAGATAATACCTAGGATTTGTGCAGCAGTTTTATTAATCTACAGAATACTCTTCTTAGCATTATACAATTTTTATGTAAAATTAAATAGGGTAATCCCTTGCGCCGAAGCTGTTTTGTTGTGTGTTTCATTGCCTCCAGTAGGTAAGAACAATGACATCATAATATGACGTCATAATGATTACTGGCTATAACATATCGTGGGTACTAAATATGCATAAGAAAATAAATCAAACCTTTCCCTGAATAATAAATATACCCCTTATGCGTTTTTATTAGCTCATTTGCATAGAAACGCCTATACCTAGCCTTAACTCACATGCGTATAATTTTTTTTATTACATTTTCAACAGAGAAATACTGTGATTTATTTATTGAAAAAAAGTGATATTCTCTCACAGTGTGAAAGGATACCAAAATGATATTCTCTCACAGTGTGAAAGGATATCAAAGTAAGTAAAAAATAATTCCTGGACTGTCATAAGATAGAGATCGTAACTAAGCATCTTGATTGAGCTAAAACTGCAAATTTCTTCCCAAATATGTTGCTAAAATTCATGCTATGTAACGTTTTCAATCACACAACTGCTACGCTACATGACGTCTCAACCGCTTAACTATGACGTCAAGCCTATGACACTGTGTTATGAAAAGACAGAGGCAAAGGAAAATCAAAGAAAATGTAATAAACAGAAAATTCAATGTTTTGTAGATGAATATGGAATTTATTTCACGAGTGGAACAGAATTTTTTGATATTTTCACTCGTGCTTCGCACTCGTGAAAATATCAAAAAATCCTGTCCCACTCGTGAAATAAATTCCATATTCATCTACAAAACATTGAATATCCTCTATTTATAAGTTCTGGTGATCATTTTTTCTAAGAATCAGTAGTGTTATTTAAGGTCTAAAAAATCTATGCTTTTTGGGATCAGTAATATAATTTTAGATTTAATTATCTATACATCTTAAGATCAGTCGTTTGATTTTACGGTGAAATCTTCCTAGAATCTATGATTCCTAGTATCAGAGATACAGATCAGATGATGTATTAGAAGTTTTATGTAAGCAAAGTCTTTGATTTAAGTTAAGTCTAAATCATTTATGATTCCTAGTATCAAAAGTTTGATTTAAGTAAAGTCTAAATTATATATGATTCCCAATATCAGAAGTTTGATTTAAGTAAAGTCTAAATTACCGGTATCTACGATATCTACTGTCAGAAGTTTGATTCAAGTTAAGTCTAAATCATTTATGATTTCTAGTATCAGAAGTTTGATTTAAGTAAAGTTTAAACTATCTATGATTCCTAGTATCAGAAGTTTGATTTAAAGTCTAAATTATCTATGATTTCTTGTATTACAAGTTTAAATCTTAAGTAAAGTCTAAACCATCTATAATTTCTAGTATCAGAAGTTTAATATAAGCAAATTCTTATTATCTATGATTCCTAGTAACAGAAGTTTGATTTACAGTCTAAATTATCTATGATTTTTAAATTTTAAATAAATCTGTGATTCCTATAGTATCAGAAATTTGATTTAAGCAAAGTTGATTTAAGTAAAGTATAAATTATCTATGATTCCTGGTATCAGAAGTTTGATTTAAGGTCTAATTATCTATGCTTCCTAGGATCAGTAGTTTGATTCAGAGGCTCATGATCATTTCTTCCTGGGATGGAAATTTGATTGATTATATGCGAGAATTTTTTACACATATTAGTTGTCACCAAATACAGGAGAAAGGCTTGGCACTTGGCACTTAGGGTCATTGAGCAGTGAGGGCTCTTTATGTAGCCAAAGCCTACTATGACACAGGACCCACATTTTTAAGGTCTAAACAAAAACAATGATTTTCACTTATAATACCAGGTGCTTGGCAAAGGAACAGTCACTACCTACATATATGTTAAATCATAAAATGTCTTAGGTTTGACACATCGCCAGGAATGAAAATCAAACCCAGACCTCCCAATCATAAAGCAAGCACCCTACTACTAGGCTAACATAATTGGTGGGATAGGTAATTTGATTCACAGACTAGTTATCATTTTTTCCAAGCATGAAATTAGAAAACAACAGATAGTAACCATGCTCAAAAGTCCAACTAAACAACAGAATTGAGAGCTGAGAAACAAGGATCTCTGAAAACACAAGAGGTGGGATACGGAGCAATGGATGAGTAAGCATCTCCTGCTGACTGCTCAAACCCACTGTGAGCCCTTTGTCTTGAGCAGGTAAACAGAGTAGAATCAGTAGACAATCAACATGAAAAGAATGGCCTAACAATTTGTATTAGATCAGTGGAATATACTAAATCCATGTATGAATGAACATAAATATTTTTTATTGATAAAACGTTTCCAATGAAAAAGGTGAGGATAATGAACAGTGATCAATCTCAATAAATCTATAAAAAAAAAAATCAATTCTGTGATTGATTGATTGATTGATTGATTGTATGTTGTTTGGGAATTTTTCACTCATATAGAGACGTCACCATATACCAGTGAAGGGCTTTAAATTTAGACCTTTACTCGACACTCAGGGCCATTGAGCAGTGAGGTTCTTTATCCTGTCAAAGCCTACCGTGACACAAGGCCTATGTTTTGAAGGACCCACAACTTTTACTTCAAAGTGCTGAGTGCTTGGCGAAGGAACAGTTGCTACCTATTTGTTATCAACTTAGGTCAGTCACAGCCGTGATTCGAACACACGACCTTCCGATCACTTTTCATGTTGAAGTTTTTGAATAAGTTCTTCTTCATAGAAGTACAAAACAATTCTGCAAATAAAGAGGCACAATAAGAACCCATGGAATTCCAATATTGTTGAAAGACCTGGTCTCCAAAGTCTATACAGATATTGTCAATGAGGAACTGAAGCATTTTTAATATCATTTTCAAAGTACTTATGTGTAGAATCAGTATGATTTTTAACAAAGTTCGTAGATGACCTATATAAGATACAAAAATTTCCTAGTTCCATTCTCATTGAAGATGTCGAAAAAAGTCTGGTCTTTAAGTATCATTAAAGTGTTGAAGAGTCATACAGCAATTCTTTTTTCAGTATCCACATTTGATTTACACCATTTCCCGAAATATGTTTTGCACAGTATTGCTGAAATTTCTCCTTCACTGATGTTAATATTATCATAAGGAATAAAGAGCCTTGGTAGAATATTTACTAGATTCTGTTATGTATCTTTGTTTGGAAGGATTTTTATGATGTTTTGGAATCAAGTATAGGTGTGGTAATTCAAATTCAAGTTGGTTGTGAATATTGAAAATATGTGATTTTGAGAATATGTACCTTTGAAAAGGACTATAGCTTAAGGTCTAATGATTCTTTCTTCCTTGGATCAGTAGTTAGATTTCATGTGAGGTGAATAATTCTTTCTAGGACAAGTTACTTGATTTAATATCTAATATTTTTTTCTTAAGATCAGTAATTTGATAATAAAAATTCTGTATTTGGAATTTTAAAAGGCATATATTGCATCCAAACTTTTGATGCTTCTCTAGCAGTATAAAAGAATGTCCATTTCAGTCAAACTTTATTGTGTTGGTATGTCCATGATTGGTCTATAAAGCTGTCATTCAATAATACATTGTATCAGTATGATATCACAGACAGATCTTTTCTAATTCTTTGTATCTAAAACTGACTGCAAGTGCCTGAAATTACTTCTTTATCAGAAATTACAGCAGCCAACCTAAAATCTCCCAAACCTCTAACCCAGTCTACCAGATCATAAAATGTGTCTGTAATTGACTAACCATCTTAAAACCCCATTTCAAAGGGATTACTCCAAATGCAGAACATCAACATGGGAAATTGTATTTTGCATGACCTCACACAAGTTTCTTACTTACAGATACTTTACCAGTTTTTATAGGAAAGCAGGGAAAGAGGAAGTACATTTCAATAAAATATGCCTGCACTTTTTTTTGGCAAACACATAATCATTTTCAAAGAATAAATGGCTCATTTAGTGTAACATTTAAATTTAACAAATGGCTGTTAAACATGTATATTGGTGTTGATATAACAATTGTTTGTGCTGCATCAAACAAGGCAGAGCACTCTTTGTTCCTTTCTTAATAACTGTCTGAATTTAGAGTAAATGTATTAACATGATATGCATACACTTGTCCAATTGTGTATTTGTCCAATTGTGTATTTGTCATTAAGTGTTGGGGTGCACTTAAGATACTGCATTTTAGGTACTGAGTTGTTCACCCATGGATTTTGCACTCTGCTTGCACAACCCCAGTGCATTCTTCTCCCTATTGCTTTTTTAGTATAAGATCAAGAAAGAGAAGCCATAAACCTTCATTTGGTGGACGGCAGGTCTCAAAAGTGAGGTAAAAGTACAGGCCTGATCAGGCTTGATAAAACAACACAACAAATCCATTTCTGTCTTCAGAATTGGGTAAGTGAGGTTCCTCTCTGGGGGCGACTTAATGGTTATTGATCTACCATGTGTCGACATAAAAAAAATTACCCCACAATTTTTTAAGTTCATCCATTCTAGGTCTTATGAATGAAGAAATTAGAATGGAATTTTAAAATCTAAAATGACAAATTCACTGGGTTTTTTTCTTCCTTTTATTTTTTTTTTGGGGGGGGGGGGGGGGGGGTCATGATATCAGTTCATACATTTTATACTTGTAAATGTGTGACATGAGGTAAATTCTTTGTAAATGAGTGCAGTAAGTGATAGATATTAAATAGGTTATTTCAAATGTTGTTTGGTAATTCTCTACAACTGTTACAGTTCATTCTCTATAATGTGCAAAATAATTTGTCAAATGTTTCTGCTCCCGTTCCAACAATCACAACAATGCTTTTTTTTTGTTATAATTCCATAGAAAATTATGTTTTAAAAAACGTGATTGTTTATTACTAAAAACTAAAACCTTCAGTCAGTTCTGGGGTCTTTAGGTAAGAATTAAATAAACAGGAGCTTTAAGTATTATTGTTATTTACCTTACAATGTTGATCAAATATCTCCATTGACTCTACACTGGTAGGACATGGGGCCAGAGGCTGCAAAAGGAATCAAAACAACAGACTTAAATCTCAAAGGAAAAACAACTGGAAGTTTCTAATAAAATGGTTATAGAAAATTTATAAATCTAGATTCAGAGTGATACAGTAGACTCTATTTTTTTTTAAATACAAAGAATTATACATTTTACAGTTAATGAATGTTAATTCACAGGCACTTACATGTAGGGCACAGACCCCCCCCCTCCCCTTTTCATTTTTTTTTTTAAATCTGGAATTGGCATGCTTTTTTCCTATTTATGTATTCTAATATGCATTAGCCAACTTTAAAATGTTTGATTGTCCTCTCCCAACTCAGGATAAAAAAAATTGAGTCTGTAGGTAGGTGAGAAATTTTTTTTTAAAGAAAATTTCAAAATCTATGCTGAATTCTCAAAATCTATTTTCCGGAATGCATAAAAAATAATTGCTTCCAGAAGGTTAAAAAAATTTTTTGAGTTGGGCCATTTTTAGCCAGTCGGTCAGGAGAGGTCAACCAAACATTTTTTTAAAGATGGCCATACATACTATTGATAATGTAACCTTTATATATATCTTTCAAAGCTATGATGCTCATTTTCTAAGTTTTAATGAATGTACACCAATTTTCCACTAATTCCAAGAGTATTGCACTCAAAATGCTTGTTCCTAAGTAACTGAACTGAGATTTTTTTCATTAGCTATGAATGTATAAAAGCTACTTTACATCCATGTTTGAAATTGTGCAGTAGGATGACAAGTTCTGATAAATAGGTACACTACATTGACAATGCTATTTTGTGCATAACATGAACCTCCTCTTAGCAAGTAAATCAAGAATTTTCACTCATGAAAATCAATGAAAATGGTGTCAGTGAGAAACCTATCTTAATATCAAATTTTTTTTTTATTACTAAGTGCTGTGAAAGGCTTTTGCTCTCATATTTCTTTAAGAGAAATGTTTCTAAAACAACAAAGGTTAGAAAAAAGAAGGCTTAAGCAAGATAAATCTCCAGTGGAAATGCTTGTGAAGTGAGAAATAAAGTATTTCTATTTATCTTCCTGTATGGCTAAGTGGTAAAGTCAGGGTGTTCCAGTTTTCTTATTTTTGTGAAACATAATTCATATCCTTTTTAATAAAAACATGGCCAGCTTTAACAAATAGGGGGCATAAGTAAGAACATTATAGAAAATTTGATAAGTTTACAGCAAGAAGATTCATCTTTATCTAAAAATGATTTTTTTCAATACAATAAAAAAATTAACCTAGCACCAACGCTCACTTAAAACATTCTTCAATTCTGGACATTTATACACTTTACTTTCCCCACAAATTTGATGTAAAGGAAAATTCTGTTCTAAATTCAGATTTAAAATTTTCTCACAAGCATGACAAGAGTAATGCAATGGTTACCTGTAACTGGTGATCCAAGGACTGAAGAACCAGACTCATCGCAAATGCATCTGTATTGGACAAACCAGTTCCTGTTGAAACCAAAAAAATTAATCATGTTCACTTCTTTTTCTCTCTCTCTATCTCTCTCTCAAGTACAAAACCTTCCGACATACCGATAGCAATTTTTTGAAATGTGAAATGGAATACTCTATATCAATCACATGAAATCAACAGAGTTAATGTAAAGATGCTTTCTGGGTTATATATTCTACAATTAACTACCAAAGACATTCTCAAACTCTAAATGGTCATGCTTATTCAAATAAACAACATAAAGAAATAAGGAGAAGCCATACTGTTTTATCATCAATCAGAAACAAAATGTTGCAATCAGTGTCTGAAAGCCATCCCATATCAAGTATCCAGAAAAGGAATTTTAAATTAACAGTACATAGTGGGCTGTGATTTCCAAAATTCTTTAACGGAAAAGAAGATTCAACAAAAATGATAACAACAATTTCATGATGTCACAAAACAAACCTGTGGTCTGTTGAGGGTCACTTGCTGTAGAGTTTACTGGCTGCTGACCATTGCTAGGTAAGACAGGATGTATACCCATCTCTGGGGTCCACGACTGGTGTCTGGGTCCGACATTCGTTATCCGTTCGGACTCTGGAGGAGTGTGGGAGATGGAGCGCTGGGGGATGGTGTTTTCATGGTTTGGGGAGTGTAGTGTTCCGGGAAAGGTGTTGACGTGCGGAATGTTGTTAGGGGGACTGACAAAGGGTTGATGGGAAGGGTTAACATTGACAAACACAGGGGAGCTAGACATTCCCAGTCTGATCTGGGTCACCTCGTCAGATCCGCCGCGTCGATGAGATCGCCCTGTCAATGGGAGGGAGTCAATTGTTTGCATTTTGGACTAGGTCAAGCAAGTGCTTGAGATCTTTAATCCTTTTGAATACTGTTATGTAATACATAAAATTTAAAATACATTTTGGGACTCAGGACCATATTTTATCATAGTGAATTTTATTTCCGTTTATTAAAGTCATCAAAATGCTTTTTACAGCTACTGATAGAAAATTTCTAAAATATTATTGTAAGGTGTTAATTGAACTGAATTATTAAAGACTAATTATAAAGTGAATCTATTTCAAAAGGATTAATACCTCAAACATAATGAAGAACAAGCTAAAACTAATAACATCATTAACCAAAGAAAATAAACTCAACTAAAATTTGCAGATCAAAAATACACTAAACTGTAGAAACATGCATCATGCAGATAAATTCTCAATTCTTGATTGTACATGTATTTTAGGCAGGTAATATACCTCAGAAAACATTTAAGGGTGATCCATTTTAAAGAAGTGTGAAAAATTGTAATACTTCTACTACTTTTATTTCTATGACAATCATACAAAAAAAAATGGATTTAAATTTAAAAGTCTTCCAAGATTTTTTTTCTTTTTTCCCCTGGTATTTCCAACTGCATGATGTTAAATAAACAAAATTCCATTTTCTGAGAGGAAAAGCTTTATATAGGGTCTTTAATTAGTTTCTTACAAGACAATTACTAGTATAAAAATATCTTATAACAATTAAATACATTTTTAGTCAACTATCTACTAAACATCTCTTAACAAATTAGATAGATGAAAATTTTATCTCCTTTTTTAACCAATGGATTTCATAAATGTGCTTCATGCAGTGAAGAAAATCATGTAACAAAGTGCATACATATTACACATTTTATTATATGAAAACAGACATATTACAATTCATAAATTGTTTTAACATATGCAAAATAGTCCCTTCACCCACTTCATGCAACTAAATTATGAGAGTTAGATTTAATAAATTTTAAAATGTTTATCCAATTTTCAATGTGTAATAAAAATTAATTTAACAATTTTAATCTGAAAAAATTTACTTCAAGTTAGATTTAACAAATTCATTTAAAGACATTTAATGTAAGGTCCAGTGTATTTACACTCTGTGTTCCAAATGTATTTATTTAATAAATTTCTTGACCTACAAACAAGCATTTGGAAATGGACAAAATAGTCTCACCTGAAATTGGCACATTATGCATGGGGTTCCCACCAGAAAACAAAATGTATGTACCATGTGATCCCGTTCTACGATGTCCTAACAGAATAATGTCAACAACGTCAACACAGGGGACACAACTCTTAACAAAGGGAACACAACTTTTATACTTTAATTCTTTTTACAAATATTTTACACTGGGGAATTCATTTCTAAAAACCCATCTATAAAGAATTAGAACCATACAGGATAATAAAAATTATTGATGGTTTCTTTTTTCAATTTTATTTCAAATCAAGTTTATTTCCTTAACATTTGAACTACATTTCTAGAGTCACTTACATTTACATTTCAAATAATTTTCATTTTAAAATTAAATATTTACATGTCTGTCTTATTCTGTTTATCACCAGATCTGTATTATTTCAGCATTATTTCAGCATTGATTCTTATTATCAAGGAGATTCCATGCTTTGGAACATTAATATTTCACATGCAACAGATTCTTTTTTGTAAATCTGGTTTTTCAACAAAAAAGTTAGTCTTCTCATAATACAAATCAAACTGAATAAACAACAATGGTAAAATTAAAAAAAAAAGAAGTTCAAACCTTGAAATCAAATACTGACACAATGCATCAATGCAGCACAAAAAAATTAAAATCCTCCTGCTTTCCTGGTATATTTAATCAAAAATAAAATCTGTGTTTCACCAATAATTTACCAAATCGTCAACTATTAACAATATGCTGTCCTGAAATATTTGATTTATTTTTGGGGAGATGGTTGACATTTTTTTTTCTTTAATTCATTTATTTTTTTTTTTTTTGTTAAGGATCAGAAATTTCATAATAAACTTTGCCAAGATTTCCTTTTCTTTTCTTTTTTCTTCAATTACAGGCAGATTAGTCAGTTGCCCATTCAGAAAGTATCTTACAAGACTGCACATCTCTTGACAGAAAGTTAATTTATATGATGTAATTTTCTCAGCGTCTACTTTAGCTTATGATTCTTTTGGTTGTTCTGTACAATGTAGTGAATCTTTTGGTTAATTATTTGTATACATGTTTACATATTTTACTGCAGAGAATATATGTATGTAATGTAAGCTATTACAGTGTACAAAATGCAGAAAAACTGCCATTAGTTTGGTACACAAAGCATTATAATATAAGTATAAATGTCTGATTATGATTTGATGCTTTCATAATGAATCTGTGATTTGACAATACATTTTTTGTACAGTGCTGTACATGACTTACCTTTGTGAGAGCCTGTACTGCTGCCACTTCCATTACTGCCCTGAGTCAGGATATCCCCCTCGCTGAGGCGGGTCAGATCTGCTGAGTACCGTTTGTACTGCTCTACAGGTGTGCCAGCTCTACCCTCCGCTAAGCTCTCTCGGCTGGCCGCTAGAGAAGCTGGAGCGCTCATTTGTCCTCTCCCTACTTCATTTTGGTACTGTCAATGTCAAATGTCCAATATACTAGCCACAAAGCACACTCATATAAAAAATATTTAATTTTTTTTCATAATCCCTGCATAATAAAAATCAATCTACTGAAAGAAAACTGCTTAAAATTTGTTTAAATTGAAATCACCTGTACAAAATGGGTTCTACTTTTTGTGAAAAAAAAGTTCTAAACTGAATATGTCTTATACAGAACTTAAGCAGATTAATTGATGAAAAATATTACTAAAACAAGCTCTTACCTCCACCACTGGTGGTGGGTTTCCTCTGGGTGGGATGGGAGGGGGATCCCCCTGTATGTATGGGTCGGGGTTGATGAGAGTATCAGATCGAGATTCAGATGCTGGGGCAGAAGTATTGTATGTAGACGGGGGTGAACTGAAGGCCATACTGTTTGGACGAGAACTGAATGCTGAAAATAAAACAACCATTGTTACAAATGCAGAAAAAGAAGGATTCTAGCACGATTACATGGTTATGTCTTATTAGTGTATAGTGATATAAACTCTCCATTTCTTTAATAAATGCACAAAAATATTTATTTGATGTTTGTTCAATAATCCTTACATTGTGCATGTAAATGAATCTGATATATTCTTTTATGACTAAATCTCCATTCTGTATTTTCATTTAATTAAGTAAGGGAGTTGAATCTACATGTACATGTACCTGTATTCAATTAAGTGAACATTAAATCTCAAAGGTTCAAAACTGTAATTTCAGACTATCCAAGATATATGTATTATATCATTTTGGTCATTAAAATAAATATCTCATTTCTTTGACTTCTTTGTTGATTATAGAAAGGGTAAATGACTTACTCCAGTCAGGTGAATCTGAGGACTCGCTCATTGGAGGATACTCCAGTGGTTGGTCTGCTCCACTGAAAAACTAAACAATACTAACTCATCAGTGGTGAATCAGTGTAGGAACAAATCAACAAGGCACCTGCTCTAAAAACTGAAATCTGTCCACCTAGCCAAAACATATACCTCGGATAAAGCATCTGAAGCATGAATGATAGTATATATCCTTAGGCACATATTCATGCCAGTTTGGTACTGGTAGAGCTAATAGTCACTTTGAAATGAACCGGCACCAATTTATTTAAAAACTAGAACTGATCTAGAAGATACGTGTATAAGTTAGATGCAGAATCTGCAGTATTACAAGCTGTTGTAGGCATTCATAGATGCATCAGCCCTGCAAGTTTGGTTCTGGTTGGATGTCAAATACTTGAGAAAGGACCTGCTTCAATTTTTTTTTTTTTTTTTGCTCTAACCACTCATTTTGAAAAAGTAAATCAGATGTAACAAATGAAGCACGAAAATTGTACTGATTGCTAGATAGGTCAATCTTCCTTCACATTTGGTCCTGGCAAGCTTTTAGCTACTTGACAATGAACATGCTCTAAAATTACAAGAGGCCCATTGGCCACAACACTCACCTGAGTCACTCATGGTTCTGATGTTCTTCATCAGCAGATGTTTTCCCTTTACATTCCTATGTAAAACTTTGATTGCCTATTTTGGCCCCATTCAACCCCAAGGGGTCATGATTTGAACAAACTTTAATCTACACAACCTGAGGATGCTTCCATATTAGTATGACTAATTATGCTGTTGCTGTTCTTGAGAAGATTTTTAGAGAGTTTTCCTATAAAATCCTATGTAAAACTTTGATTGCCTATTGTGGCCACACCCTATTACAGGGTTCATGATTCGAACAAATTTGAATCTACACTACCTGAGGATGCATCCTTATCAACATGACTAATCAAGCCTTGAGAGATTTTTTAAAAAAGATTTTTCTCTATACATGTACATTCCTATGTAAAACTTCGATAATCCATTGTGGCCCCCTCCTACCTCAAGAGGTCACGATTTGAATAAAATTAAATTACATTTTCACTAAATTCACCAATTCACTGAATAGAATTAAATTACATTTTCACTAATTCTTAATTATGCCCTTGAAAGAGGGCATGACCCTTCATTGGAGCAAATTTAAATTCCCTTTACCCAAGGATGCTTTGTGGCAAGTTTAGTTGAAAGTGGCTCAGTGGACTTTGAGAGGTCAAAAATGTGAAATTTTACTGAAGGACAATCAGCCAGACAAAATGCAATCAGAAAAACTCACTTCAACTTTTAGCTCAGGTGAGTTAAAAACTGACCACTAATCTAGAAAAAAATGTACACTTTGGACAGATGCAGCATCCAAATAATGAATACTTTATAAGTGAATATGCAGTGACAGATACACTTCTCATACAAGTTTGGTTCATATAGGATGCATACATGTAGTTACAATGTACATACATTATCTATTGTATTGAAATTGAAAAGAAGCAGACAGGCAAACATAATTAAATGTATAAAGAATCCCTTTAAATACCTGGAACATGTAGGTCATAATTCTACAGACTTCTGCCATTGAGGGCCTCTCTGCTGGGTTACCATGCCAACACCTGGTCATCAGTATCTCTAGTGGTTTAGGAAGATTCCTTATAAGTGGTGGTCTGGTACCTGAAAAAAAATCTCAGTGGTGTAAGTCAAGGTCATCTGAATGTAAGTAAGTCAAGGACATCTGAATGTAAACCTTCATTTTCAAGGGGGTACATTTGGTTAATGGTAGCTTAGCCTTAGCAAACATGATTAAACAAATGTCAAAATGAAGATGAATTCTTTACCATTGTGAACAGCCCACATGATTCTGAAGGCAGGACCACCAATTTCATCAAATGGTTTCCTCCTTGTGATGACCTCCCAGAAAATGATTCCCCAGCTGAAGACATCACACTTCTCACTGTAATTACTGCCTGTAAACAATACAACAGATCAGTTTACAATAAATCATACAGTTACATGTAACTGTAATTACTGCCTGTAAACAATACAACAAATCAGTTTACAATATTTCATATATCTGTAGCTATAATTACTACCTGTAAACTATACAAAAAATCAGTTTACAATATATCATACATTTACATGTACCTGTAATTACTGCCTGTAAACAATACAACAAATCAGTTTACAATATATCATACATCTGTACATGTAGTTTTTGCCTGTAAACAATACAATGAATCAGTTTACAATATATCATACATCTGTACATGTAGTTATTGCCTGTAAACAATACAATGAATCAGTTTACAATATATCATACAACTGTAGCTGTAATTATTGCCTGTAAACAATACGATGAATCAGTTTACAATATATCATACATCTGTACATGTAGTTATTGCCTGTAAACAATACAATGAATCAGTTTACAATATATCATACATCTGTAGCTGTAATTATTGCCTGTAAACAATACAATGAATCAGTTTACAATATATCAGACATCTGTACATGTAGTTATTGCCTGTAAACAATACAATGAATCAGTTTACAATATATCATACATCTGTACATGTAGTTATTGCCTGTAAACAATACAATGAATCAGTTTACAATATATCATACAACTGTAGCTGTAGTTATTGCCTGTAAACAATACGATGAATCAGTTTACAATATATCATACATCTGTACATGTAGTTATTGCCTGTAAACAATACAATGAATCAGTTAACAATATATCGTACATCTGTAGCTGTAATTACTGCCTGTAAACAATACAATGAATCAGTTTACAATATATCATACATCTGTACATGTAATTACTGCCTGTAAACAATACAATGAATCAGTTTACAATATATCATACATCTGTAGCTGTAATTACTGCCTGTAAACAATACAATGAATCAGTTTACAATATATCATACATCTGTAGCTGTAATTACTGCCTGTAAACAATACAATGAATCAGTTTACAATATATCATACATCTGTAGCTGTAATTACTGCCTGTAAACAATACAATGAATCAGTTTACAATATATCATACATCTGTAGCTGTAATTACTGCCTGTAAACAATACAATGAATCATTTTACAATATATCATACATCTGTACATGTAGTTATTGCCTGTTAACAATACAATGAATCAGTTTACAATATATCATACATCTGTAGCTGTAATTACTGCCTGTAAACAATACAATGAATCAGTTTACAATATATCATACATCTGTAGCTGTAATTACTGCCTGTAAACAATACAATGAATCAGTTTACAATATATCATACATCTGTAGCTGTAATTACTGCCTGTAAACTATACAGTCAATCAGTTTACAATATATCATACATCTGTAGCTGTAATTACTGCCTGTAAACTATACAAAAAATCAGTTTACAATATATCATACATCTGTACCTGTAATTACTGCATGTAAACAATACAATGAATCAGTTTACAATATATCATACATCTGTACATGTAGTTATTGCCTGTAAACAATATGATGAATCAGTTTACAATATATCATACATCTGTAGCTGTAATTACTGCCTGTAAACTATACAGTCAATCAGTTTACAATATATCATACATCTGTACCTGTAATTACTGCATGTAAACAATACAATGAATCAGTTTACAATATATCATACATCTGTACATGTAGTTATTGCCTGTAAACAATATGATGAATCAGTTTACAATATATCATACATCTGTAGCTGTAATTACTGCCTGTAAACAATACAATGAATCAGTTTACAATATATCATACATCTGTAGCTGTAATTACTGCCTGTAAACTATACAGTCAATCAGTTTACATTGTACAAGGGTTGATCCAAAAGTAATGTCAGAACTGCTATAAAATCTTTAATAATCAAAAGTTTTCATCAAAACTATTGTATGTATTTTTATACCTCTACCTAAAGTTTTTCCCTTTACTTCAAAGTAAACGGTTAGAGATCAATTGTGACAGGCTAGGGGTTGAGGTTTATGAACAAAATCTTGGTGTATCTTACAACAATTATATTTAGATTTTTTTTTTATTTATAAGGGGCATTTTTTATCAGTTGATCAATTTGGATGGAAGCTGGTTCTTTGGGAAAACATTATTTTTTTTGACTTTTGCAAAAAAAAAAAAAATTCATTCAGATATATGCAAAACTTTATAAAATATTAAAATAAACACAATATGGGGTCTTGTATATCTGCTGCACAGCAAAAATGTAGAGACACAATTATGATGTTTCACTTCAACAATTATTTGAATCTGATGATAGACAAAATTTACGCAAAAAAATGAATTTAGAAATTACATTTGGACAAAGTTTAAATAATTTTAATACTACAACTCAAAACAACACGGTTTATAGCAAAATGGCAGTAAAGATTACTAAAAAGAAGCATGTGGGTGGTTAAAAAGATATGCAGTTGAACTGAAAATGAGTGCTGAAAATGAACGTCATAAAAACGTCAGTAACATTCTGGCCAAGCCTAGACAAAACCTAAATTAGGTTCATTGTAATATTTTAAAAAGTATTTTGTATAATTGAATGAAATTTTCAGGCAAAACTTTAAATAGGTAGCTATTAGTGCTTCAAATTTTTTTTTTATAACATTTGATTATTAAAGATTTTATAGCAGTTAGGACATAACTTCCGGATCAACCCTCGTATCATAAGTATAAAGGTAGCTGTAATCACTGCCTGTAAACAATACAACAAATTAGAATATATTAATATATCATACATTTACATATAATTGTAATTACCTGGTACTGTCTGTAAACAATACAACAAATCAGTATACAATATATCATACATTTATATGTAACTATAATTATCCGGTACTGCCTGTAACAATACAACAAATCAGTATACAATATATCATACATTTACATGTAACTGTAATAACTGCCTGTGAACAATACAACAAATCAGTATACAATATATCATACATTTACATGTAACTGTAATTACTGCCTGTAAACAATACAACAAATCAGTATACAATATATCATACATTTACATGTAACTGTAATTACTGCATGTAAACAATACAACAAATCAGTACACAAATATCTGAAATACAGACTGCTTTACAATGTGTAACACTTCTAAATGTAATTACAACCTGAAAATTATAGTGAACAAATTCCATAAGAATTTGTCCCATACCAACAATAGAAAATCATTTCAAGATCAATGGTCTTTGTACACCTCACTGAAAATAGACTTACAAAGAGCTCCAATCTCAGAGGATAAAAAATATACTACCATAAAATCAGGGGTGTGCAATTACCAACGCCCGGGGCTACCAATTTTAGAGGTCGGGCTATAATAAATCTATACTGCGTTAGCCTGTCGGGCTAGTAAATCTAAAACGAAAGTATACATATATTTACGTGGACTGAATTGATGTACGAATTAACTTTGTTGTAAAATCGTAATCTTTAATTCGTTTTAACCTACATGTATATGTATTGTGTGTTGCTATCGCCAGTCGTTTCAGTAACAATTATAGTTGATAAAAATAGGTTGAAGTACTTGACAATAACAAAGCGCAAACCATTATTTCCTTTATTTATTTCAACTTAAATGGTTTTTTTTTTTTTACCTTTTTGTTAATCTTATACATGTATTGTTTTCGGTACTTAATGGGCTAGTGACTGGCAACCTCGGGCTAGTAACTTTGTTACTGCCATTAGCCCGACGAGCTAGTAACTAATTTTTGTAATTGCACACCCCTGGTAAAATAATAAATCCTGTTTTATACAAACCTTCGAAGACTTCAGGTGCCATCCACGCTGCACTCCCTTTGTTGTTAGTCATGTGTGTTTGTATATCACAGGCTGTGCCAAAATCACATATCTTCAGAACTGTCCCACCCATTATCAACAGCAGGCTACAACAAATGGAGGATTTAATGTGTGTGAACTTTAACAAAACATTGATGAATATAAGTAAATGTTCACAACAAATAAAAGTGCTCTTATACACAGTACAAAATATGAAAAGGTGCTTCCGTTTTTCTTCACAATCATTGCTTATTACAATAAAAAAATATATTGTTAACTTAATGGATATAACGAATTACAGCAAAACACGCTTATAGCGAACACGCTTATAATGAATTGACGGTTACAGCCAAGTGATTTTAATTTCCCATGGCTATAAAATATATTGTGAACATAACAGATATAACAAATTACTTTTCTTACGAACCAAAATCATCTGTCCCTGGCACTTTGTTACAAGTGTGTTTTGCTGTACACTTATAACGAAGCAAAATTGTCCGTCCCTGGCACTTTGTTATAAGCTTGTTTTACTGTACTTACTTTGGTGGCTTTAAGTCTCTGTGAATCAGAGCTTTGGGCTTCATTCCATGTAGGTACTCTACTCCCTTGGCACACTGCAGGGCCCAGCTCATAGCATGGGCGGCTGTGTAGGTGGGCTGGGGGCCTGCCCCATGCAACACTACAAATAGCCATACATTCCATTAGAAGTTTGTTAATTTTATTTTTCTGTTTTTGCTAACATCAAGATGTAGTTAATTATGTACTATGAAATCAATCAGATTCTTTGTATAAGTGGCTGTGGTTTGTAAGTATCAGGAATTATCATGATGATGTATAGGTAATAATCTCACCATTGTACAAAGATCCACCCTCTGCATATTCCATCACAAGGCACACCTAAAGATATGCATAATATTTACCTTAATTGCTAAAATCAATTTTGCAAAAAGGAAGTGTGAACAAAGAATTTACAATTACCATATAAATTAGACAATAACAACAGTTTTATTAGTATGATGAGGATGCTCAGAATGTTTGGTGAGAGTCCTACAACAAAAAAGTCTGATTGTCCAAAAATGTAAAAATGTTTTTTTAAATGAGCATTTAAGAACAAAAACAAATCTCTATTTGGCAATTAAAAGATATCCTGATGCAGTCTATATGAAAGACATCTGACTGCTGGACCTGACTGATGTACAGGGCTTCGGGTCCAATGCCTCATGTTTTACACTGGAACAGAATTTCCTATGTCTCAGTGTTCGTTTTTGAGTTTTACTGTTTTGATACGGAGTCATAAAATCATTTACTTTTAGAAAATATATTTCACAAATTCAAGTACGTAAATGATTGTGTCCTTGGTTCTGCATTTTCACCTGTTTCACTTTCTTACTTTAGGTTTTTTGGTCTGACAAACTTTGGTTCGATCCTGTGTGTACACAAGAGTACACAATCCCAAATGTCCTGAGTGACCCATAAAACTTTTCGCACAGACTGCTGAGCTGAAGGTCCATTTTAACTTAAGAAATCCCACCACTAAAATACTTATCATGTCAGTAAAATGATGAGGCAATTCATTACTTACTGTTGGAGGTTCTTTACATGCTCCATACAGCTTCACAATGTTGGGGTGGGCAACTCTAGACAGCTGTTTCAATTCTGTACTAAATGCCTTCCTTTCTGATTCAGTCTCAATTAGCTTTACTGCAACCTCCTTCCCTCGCCATTTAGCTCTACTAACAACACCAAAAGCACCCTTTCCAACAACCTTAAACAAAATAAAAATACGCCTAGCAAATTTCTACAAGTATAAGGCATATATAGGCCTACAATATGTCCATTGATTCCCTTTGACATACTACCAATAAAATATGTTCAAAACAAAATATGACAGAGAAAATTCAGAACTGATATTTGGCGAAGATGCATACCTCATGGCATTGAAGTTCATGAAATTTAATTTCCTCCACAAACCCATGTGTCTGTGGAGTGTCCATGTTTGGATTCATTTACCCCCTTTCGCTCATCATACTGTGATAAAATCATTGACTGGGAGGAACCTCCTGCTCTTGTTTTTATTTCTGAAGTCTCGTTTCACTATCGTTTTATCAATAATTCTTCATATTTCGTATTTTTTCAAACTTTAAAGCTTATTAATTTTTTTTTCAAATGATAGAAGGAAATTTAAAACTAAAATATTCTTTTAAGAATAAAAAAGGTAATATTTTCTTTAAATCCAAAATAAAACTTCCGTACAGAACGGATATCTTGATTTCTCGTATTATTGAGTAATTAAATATACTAATGAAATAATTTCTAAAATATTAAGATAAATTTCTTACGATTTATTGTTATCTTAATTATTCAACCGGTAACAAAATTAATTCAAAGATGAAAGGGACCAGATATATCCGACTGATACTATTTCTTGTTTTTTTATTGGCTTCATTTGTAAGGGAAAATGTCGACCTCATTCAAGAAACCTCGGCGAAATTTTCGCAAGAAAGTAATAACAATCGATAGCGATTCTGACAATGAAAGTAGGAATGAGAATAATTTTGAAAATGATCAGAATGAAATCAAATCCCAAATCATCAGCGATGACCAAATTAAAAAGTCGAAGAAAAAGAAGAAAGAGGAATCCCAAGGAATGCATCGTAGTAGCAGCGTTCTCAGCTTTAAAGAAGAAAATGAAGAAGGTATGATTTTTCACCCAGAAAGATTATGTTTATTTCCCACACATATTTAATGATTTGCTTGGTGAAAAGATTAATGTTATCTCTCAAATTTATGCCCTGATATGTCCGAGGATGAAACTTTTAGCGTGGGCCAGCATGTAGTTTCATCACAGGCCTCTGAATTTATATCAATTAGCCTTTATATGATTAATCAGAGTGATATATGTGTAAGACTCCAAAGTCCGATGGTCACACCATTGTCCGATGGTGTGTGCCAAAACCAGATGGTATGAACACCAATTTGACCAAAGTCCGATGGCCCGTCTCCTAGGACGTGCTGCACCAAAATGTGATGGTCTGACACGCCAAAGAGCGATGGTGTGGAGAAACAGTCAACGTTTATGACCATAGCAGACATCACAATAATCTGAAGTCAATCCTTGATGCTGTTGTCCATAATCCAAAAGCCAATAATTAGTCCTCGCATACAATTTGACTGGTTTTGCATATTGCTTACTTTTACCTGAGATGTTAGGGTTAGTACTTGCACACCATTTGACTAATAAGGTTTAGTCCAGACTGATTATGGGATAGCTTCACACCAACGAGAGATTAAGGGTTATTCATCGCACACTGTTCAACTGAAAAGGGTTTGTCTCCCACCCACCAAGGAGATTTAGGGTAGGTCCTTGCACACCATTTGACTCATAAGCCTTAGGGACAATCTCTCTCCCATGCACTCAAAATATGTTGGTGAGCTATTGCATACTTTTTGAGCAATTAGGGTTAGTCTTGCACCCGTCAGAGAGATTGCAAGAAATTGGCTATGTCTCTGGGTAATACTACGGTATGTCTGTATGATCACCATGCTTCACTTGAAAGAAAAACCTGTAAAAATCCTATTGTGGTGTACATCATGCACTCCTTTCTTGCAAAAAAATATAAGTATGTATTCGGTATTTTTTATTTATGAAAAATCATTAAACTTTATTGTTTTGTTATAGGTGAAGTTTTTAAAGTGAAGAAGTCAAGTCACAGTAAGCGGATTGCCAAACAACTGAAGTTGGCGTCTAAGTTAGCAAGAGAAGAAGAGGAGAAAAGTAAGAAAAGGGAGGAGACTTCCCCTCAGAGGACCTCCCCAGTCTATAGGGAGGACTCATATGAGGACAGGGAGGATAAGGATGAAGAAATAAGAGTAATAACCATTGTCTTCTGGCACTCAATTATTGTAAAACTGTATCATAAAATAATTTTGAGTTTGCAGAGTATCTTCTGCATGTCAATTTGTGTTCCAACTGTGGAATACATAGTATTTTGTTGCGTTTGCAGAGATTACGTGCAGAGTTTCAGACCTTGAATGGTGAGGACCTTGAGGAGAATGAGAGTGAGGAGGAGACAGAGGGGGGAAGTCAGCTGAAGAAGATGATGAAGAGTGAGTTTTTTTCTGCCAATATTGTATAACAGGTCATCTCAAGAAAAGATAGAATTTATGGTTTAAAATTTTTCATGTTCATTAACAGAGGGGGAAATCCCAGATGCCAATATGATTCACATGATCAGAAAGAGACGACAACAGGCAAGAGATTTTGGAGATTTCATACCACTGGATGACACAGAGAGGGCAGAAAATACTAAATCTCGACTTGTCAGGTCAGTGAAGAGAAGGATATTATGATGCAGGACAAAGCAAAAAATGATTGTTTATATGACTAACTCTTCCATTTACATTCTTTCATCATTTGCTATTTGATGTGACAGTTTTTAACAAATGTTACATTACATTAATATTGATTGTGTTTATACACAAGAAAAAGTTATTAATAAGGAGATGTTATAAAACAACTGTTGAATAAATAAACTTGTTACCTTATCTCAGATTTCTTATCAGATTCTTTTGTAATCTTTAATCAGGGATGATGACAATGATAAGTCGGATGATGAGGACGATGAGAGGATGGACTTTTCTGTAAACACCCAGGCAAGAGACAGGATTAAAATTCAGAATGACTTCTTGGCAGCTGAGCATGGTAAATATCTATGTTTGACAATTTAAGGTTTGTTGACCCTCTGGTAAGAGAGACAACTGTCACCATGACTTATTCTTTGTTAAATTGTCAGGTTGAAAGGTCATTTCTGTCAAATTTTGCTTACCCCCAGGTATGATGAAATTGTATTTATTTTACTTAGGCCAAAAAAAATAATAGTCTTGTTTCCTGCTACCGGCCTGAAAAAAATAGGGTAGGTAGGTAGGAAAATTATTTTATTTTATATTTTTATTTTATTTTTTTCCGACAGCATTTTTTGGATATGAACTAATACAAGATCAAATAAAACATGTCACAGGTCAACGTTGTCTTTTAAAATTAAATTTCATGTCTTTTTATGCACAACTCAAGTGGTATTTTATGAAAGTCCATATTTAGAACAAGAATTTCGTGAAATGCTTGTTTTGTGTTAACACGGAAACCGATTACGGTGACAGAACAATGAAATTCCGGAAATTCCCAATTTGTTTTCTTCCAAAACTTAAAAAAAACTTTCGGGTCGGAGGCTAAAAAATAGGGTAGGTCGGGTAGCAGGAAACAAGACTATTATTTTTTTTGGCCTTACATAAATAGATTTCTGTGGAAAATCATTAGCGTCAAAGCACAATGTTATATAAATGAAGAGAGGGTTGATGAACTAAATTTATGACTGTTCATTACAGTGCAAATGTACATAGATTATTTTATGGGGGCTGGAGTGGTTACATATTTCATGTTAGTTGCTGAACTTTTGTTATTGACTTGATTTTGACAGGATCAGACAACGAGGATAGTGACCAGGAGAGAGAGTGGGAGGAGCAACAGATTAAAAAGGGGGTCAGCTTAGGTTCAGAGGTGAAGGTCAAATTAAAGAGGCTCAAAGGAAATAAACAAAGAAAACAATCAGAAATTCAGAACAAAGTGGATTATTAGATAGAATGTTGCATTGGTCTATTTCAAAATTTCTTTGTCATTGTACTTCAGCAATTATTTCACTGTAAATTTTGTATTTTAGCAACAAACAGATGGAAGTCTTTCAGCAACACCTGCACACAATGACCAGTACAATGGATATCAAGAAACAACGATGGAGAAGAAATCATTCACACCATTCCAGAGTTTGACCAAGTCCGCGGGCTCCACTATAATTAGTATGGAGGTCATCAGAAAACGTCTTCAAGACAGGTAAGTATACACTGTAAATGTACTTTTTTCATGGGTCATAATTCAGCAGAATCAAAATTTCTGTTCAATTCGCGGGTAGAAAATAACATGGATTTTTAAAATTGCCATTGTACATTTAAATTGCACTTAATGTACGCTGTAAAAAATTTCCGTGGTAAATTTGTGACCACGTATGTAGTGTAAATTAATCCCAGTAAAAATCCCAGGAAAAAAGTACATCTACAGTACCTAAATTTGGTCAGTATACACCTAAGTCAGGGCAGTGTATACTTAAGTCAGTATGTAAACAGTTGTATGTTTTGCATGATCTCATTAAAAAGAATCCTTTTGCAGGTTGAATTCTATGGATGAAGTTCATCGTAGCCACGCTCGAGAAAGAGACTCGTTAGTTAGTGATATTAGCGACACTGAGAAAAGCATTGAAACCTGTCAAGAACAAGTTGCAGGCTTGGAAGAGCGTTACCGCTTTTTCCAAGAAATGAGGGGGTATGTCAGAGACTTGGTTGATTGTCTCAGTGAGAAGGTGGGTGTTTACCTTGTTTGGGAGGAAATGTTTTGTGATAGTTGTGGGGTGGGAACCTGTACTTGCAGCATTCTGTATAAATAAAATATGTCTCAAAATGTTTTGTTTATTAAAAACACTTGTACATAGTATATGCATGCAAAACGACATTGTAAATTAAGAAATAGTAACTTTCAAATTTAAAGGAAAATATTTTTGGTCACTTAAGAGTCAATGATTTCCCATTAGAATTCTTCAAGTTAAGAAGGAAGAAAAAGCAAATTATTCTCTACATAATGAAATGTGGAAATGTATTATGTATTTTCTGGAGTTATTCAATTCAATTATTCAAAAAGACAATGTAAAGGAATTTAAGCATATGTTGTGCTGAATGAATTACACTTAAAGCAAGGGATTTTCATACAAATTTTAAAAGCTTCAATATGGCTTTTCATACAGTATACATTTAAAATCAAGGTAAATTGACCAAATTTCTAAGACTCAACAGCCTTTATATTTGGCTGTAAATTTAAACTTGACAAGTATTTAGAGCAGGTAGTGCAGGGGCCATGCTGGGATGGGAACAATTTGTGTGTCACCTTAAAGCTCTTATAGAATATTGATTAATTAGCTTTAGGGTAAATTACTTACTGTAGATGTCAGAAAAGTAAGCAAATATTTTCATTTATGAATTTGTATTCATGTATGGCAAATTTGTATCAAAAGCAAAGTTTGAAAATGTGAGTCTTAGCATATTTTTAAAAGATATTTTGTGGTGTTAGGTCCATTCAGATCTTAATGACTTGAGGCTAAATGCCTTGAGCATGTGATTTTCTGCTCTTAGGTATACTTCATCTCATTAACACACCATTTACTTGTATTGTCACACTTAAAGATGAAAATAATTGATTTTAATGCAAAGACATACATATAACTGAAATTTCTTTCTCTTCCTGTTAATGTCTCATACAACTGAAAATCATTTTCTGTTTAAAAATAAGTGATTTTTTTTTCTAACTTATAATAATTTAATGTTGACACCCCCCCCCCCCCCAAGACAGATAATTATAATGCATTAATCTGAATCTTAAATCTGTTCCTATATCTGTCTTACAGGTTCCAGAGATTGATAATCTAGAACAGAGAATGTTGACTCTGTGGAGGAACCGAGCACGAAAACTGGTGTCACGTCGACAGCAGGACGTCAGAGACCAATGTCAGGAGTACATGACAAGTCGGTATTTAACCTTTAACCCCAACTAATGACATACATATTCATGTATTTGTGTGTCATAATTATTTCTTGCTATTAAGACAAACCACAATAATTCATGATTTGCACCCCTCACCCCTCTCATTAACAACTTGTTACTCCTTTGTCAGAGGGGAATCATAGAATTAATGAATGAATAGTACGTGTAGTAGTCTAATATAAAAATTTCCTGGAATATCAGATTGAAAATAATATTAATCAATGTACTTTTTGATCATTTAAATGATGAAGGTAAGTAAAATGTGGTATTTTACATATCAAGGTGCTTGTATTTAAACTAGTTCCTGTATTGAGACCATACACATTATGGACCTTTGGACTGATTGTGTTGACTTTTTAACTTTTCAGGCAATGCTAATGTCGATATGAACTCACCTGAGGCACAGGAGAGACAGAGGCGAGCTGCAGAGAGGGAAGCTCGCAGGTAAATAGCAACAAATAGAGACAGAAATAGTAAAGATTATGTAGAAATAATGGAAAGCTTGCTAACATCAGCTCTCTTTCCTTTACAGATCACGCAGGAGACGAGCAAGAGAATTAAAAGACATAGTTGGACACCATGACGGCTTGTCATCAGACGAAGAAGAAAATCAATCAGAAATAGCAAAATATAACCTGGAAAAAGGTGGCACTTTTACCCACAATTCCCTGTGCTGGCTGATGACATTTTATGTTGTATATGTAGATATGATATACTGACAAAGATGAGCTCTCCCTCTGTGACGGTTCCCCCGTTTTGTGGGGTTGCCCTAATGAATGATAAGTCCACTGTATATTGTGGTAGTACCTCACACTGATGACTGGAAGTGCCCTGCTCACCCCTGTGTATTCTGTACTTGTCACATTAGTGCTTCAGAATATGAACGTCCAAGTGACATAATAAGTGTATGAAATACTTGTGCAATACTTGCTCACATTTGATTATGTGGGTGAAACCAAAATATTTGTTTCATTATTTGAATTTATACAATTTCAAAACAAGAGAAATATTCCTGAAGTTTCTAGTATGTATTACTTGTTGATCTCTTTATTTGTAGAATGCTCGTTGACCAGGCTCTTTTGTTTTACTTTCTGCAGAGTCAGTGCTGGGGTCCCAGGAGAGGGTCTTTGAGGATGTTGTGGAGGATTTCAGCGAGGTGGACAGTGTCCGGGAACACTTTGAGGAGTGGAAACAAACCTATAAGGACACTTACCAGGACGCGTACATAGGACTGTGTCTCCCTAAACTATTTAATCCTTATATAAGGCTTAGTCTTATAAATTGGAACCCACTAGAGGTATGGTTTTTCATAGCTGAACTGGTCAGATATAGTAGAACCCACTAGAGCTACAGTGTGTATAGATGAACTGGTCAGATATACATGTAGCAGAATGCAGTGTTGTGTCACTGCCTTATGAAAGCCCTATTTGGATAAATTAGAACTACTGCAACTTAACAGATAGTTAGGTGTTCACATTTAGCACTTAGAAGACTTTCTCTTTAACCAATGTAATCTATTGACACACAAGAAACTTGGTCTTATAAACAGGTACTCAGAAACTGAATACAATTGTGGAAATAAATTTAACAGCTTGAGGGACACTGCATAAAAAAAAGTATTTGGCATTCTTTGTATAAATATTCTAGAATGCATGTTTAATATATTTGTTTTGTTTTTTAGGCTAACTGTTTGGACTTTGAGGACACTAAATGGTTTGAAACTCTCATATTTTACGGATTCAAACTCCAGGAGACGATATCTAAAGGAGACGATGATGCAAGACTACTTCCATCCATTGTAGAAAAAGTTATATTACCAAAATTAACAGGTATGACATGTATTCAAAATTTTACTATAGTGACAAAAATTGGCTTCAGAAAATTATATATATTTTATACAAAATTTGGAAGAAGTTTCATGAATAGGTCAAAAATTTTTCAGTTTCCAAACTTGATAGATTTGATAAAGAAAACTATAATTGAAGTTCCAATAAATCTTTGAAAATATTCATGTAGAAATATAAAGGTTAAGAATTCTAACTTGATTTCAGTGCTAGCAGAATCAGTCTGGGATCCATTATCAATAACACAAACATCCCGCTTGGTGAATGTTGTTTCCAAGCTCAGTCAAGATTATCCATGTATACAGGCCAACAACAAAATTACACAGGTATGGCCATTCACAATACAAACTGTCTCAATAATTGTAGTGTTTGACTTTAGACCCCTTTGAAGTTTTTAGAATAGACCACTCACTGATTTTGTGACTGTAAGTGTATTCATGTTAATGAAAGAAGATCTAAGTGTGGATGGAGTTATGAAAATTAATTGAAATTCATTTTCAGCATCTACTAAATGCGATTGTTAAAAGGATCAGGACAACGTTAGAAGATGATGTTTTTATGCCTCTGTATCCAAAGTCGTAAGTTTATACGAAATATTAATTGAGCCTTTTATGGTGTTTCGAAAGTAAATATGAACAACAAAACGGGCAGGGATTTAGAGAACATCAATAAGCAAAATAAAAAGGAATTCAAAACAATTTATCATAAATGATTTTAAATAGAAAAAAAAAATAAAATGAGGTACCTGTACATGTTTGAAGACTGTTACACACCCTTTACAGATCAGTATTTGAAAGCTAAGGATTGACTTAATTTCTGTGGTGATTTTGAAATTAAGTGATTTTAAAAATATTTTCTCTCCTATGCAGGGTTTTGGAAAACCGATCATCAAACTCCTCTGTGTTTTTCCACAGACAGCTGTGGGTCTGTATAAAGGTAACAAATTTAATCTTACATTTGTATCTAAAATTTGATTTGATTTTATGATTTTGAAAAAAGTGAAAGTTTGTTTTTTTCTTCAGTTGCTAGGGAACATCCTGAGTTGGCATGGTATTTTATCCAATCAGATGCTGCTAAGCTTATCACTTGATGGACTCCTCAATAGATATATCATTCTGGGACTGTGTAATTCTGGTGTGAACAAAGAGACGATACAGAAGTGCCAGTCTGTAAGTTAATTCTGCAAACATATATTGTACATACTGGTATACAAAATGTCAGATACTGTGTATTACTCTGCTCATTTCTAATCAAAGTGCGATAAGTTTGAAAGGACTTATATACATATTTCCTTAAAATGAAATTTTTCATCCTAGCATCATCGATGATTTGTTTTTAAAATCTGTGTTTGTTTTGAACCGTAGCAAGGGACAAAATAAAAAAAGAAGAAAGAAAACTATTTTGGTACCGAATATCATAGGGTATTGTTTAACTGTTGACTTTTTGTTATCTCAGATCATCTCCACATTCCCCCGGGAGTGGTTCAGTGATCTAGATGAGGACAGGACCATGCCACAGTTGGAGAATCTGAGTCGTTTTCTCGTGTCTGCAGCCAAGACCCTGTACACCGAGGGTCACAGTAAACATGACTTTGACAAGAAGGACTCCAGGTATATATATACTTCATTATCCTCTCTCACAATTTCATAGCTTTTCTGTGGTCGAGTTTGGATCTTTCTGTTAAATGTTGAGTAATATTTTTATTGACTTGCCAAGATTTGTATTACTGTAGATTCCTTAATATACACGAGGAACTAATTATCATGTAATTTTGCGAGAAGGACAACTCGCTAAATTAAATTATTTCTATGGCACTGAAATTCATGTAAAAGCTCTAGATCAACCGTCCACTCACGAATTATCGTTCTCACGATTTGGGGTCTAAGGGCCATTTCAGGATATTCTGTACTTGCGTAACATAAGGAAACTACAGTATGCCTTTATGATTGAGAACTATATGAAGTGTTGTGATTTTGTAGGGAGTACATCAAACAGATCAGCAAGATGTTGGTCAATATCCACGCCATGGAATATGCTGTCAATCTCCCTATGTGAGCTGAATACGTGTATGTGTCTGCTGTGTCTGAAAATGGCAGTTCAAGATTCAGAATAAGTTTTTGCATCACAAGTGATATTGACCTTCCATCACAAGTGATTGACTTTCCATCAAAAGTGATATTGACCTTCCAACACCACTGAGGCTAACCAGTGTTGTTGACTAATCAACACTGGCTGACTGAAGACATTGCTGTCATGAAATGGATTCTCATCTAATAGCAATCAATGATTTTAGAGTCTTGTTACATGGACTATCTATTTGACATTAGACAGGACTGTCCAGTTGTGTTATTGCCAAAGTTTTAAATATTCTTTGCTTCAGTGGGATATAACTTTATCAGCTGGATAAGTTGAATGTGATTCAGAATTTAATTGATGAAATCAGATGTTAAACAGATCTGACTGTCTTTAAAGTAAAAAGGTTATACTGAGGTAAATAAAGTCAATTTCTTTATGATCAGATGAAACTGTCTTCATGTTGTATATGTCATATGAATCATTGACAGTTTGGAAATAAAAGCACATAACATCAACATCAGTAATTTCTGTGTGCCTAATTTATATTTTTAAGCTACTTCAGTTTGAGCAGATGCACATTTGTTATGCATTTACAGCTGGGAATTTAATTCAGTTTGTCAACTTCCCTTATTTTTTTTAGCAATATACCATTATCACCTGCATATCTATTTATGTCTCCCAGCCGATTCCATTTGTAAGAGCATGTTCTACATATGAACAATTTCTAAAATGAGGCAGGCTATTGATAAATAAGTTGATTATCCAAGAAAATGAAAAAAGATCTTGGTCGCTGGTGTGGAGCAGTGGTTAGAGCGTTTGCTCTAGAGTCGCGGCGTAAGGAGTTGATCCTTATATCATAGTTGAATACACTGTGTGATGTGGAGACCGGTCCTTCGGATGAGACTGTATAAACTGAGATTCATGTGTCGCAGTAGGTGCTGGCATGAAAGAGATCTCTTAGGCTCATAGAAGTATTTCAGTATATTACGAAAAGATATAAAAACACTAATTTCGAGGAAAATGTCATCAGACCTCTATCATATTACGAAGGAGAAGTCAATCCAGACATCGTCAGTTACCTTGCATACCTTTTCCATAATTGAAATGTAGATGGTTTTAGGAAGGAAATATATACACATGTATATAATAATTATATAATTGAACAATTCCTAGCTCTCTGATAAAACGAGATCCAACATTGTTAAAATTACAATTGTTTAAGTTATTTTCAACTGCATGAGACCTTTCAGGTGAACAAAACATTTTTTTTTCTACATAAGACCAATGATAAGTCAAAAACTCCCAAATTGATATACAATTAGCTATGGAATGTTATTTTTCGCCTGCACCCGCAATACCAGGTGATCATAGCGTTCTTTTTTTTCATCCAAACAAAATATAGATCAAGAAATTCCAAATTACACAACTAGTTATGTTATAATTTATTATAATCCCGCTTCTTTCACTGCGTTCGGCTAGGACTGCAACAAATTCAAGAAAGATGACGAGCCTGTATCAATTAATCATTGAATCAAACAATAAAACAACTGCTGTTTTTCTCAATTAACACAGTATGTGATTTAGAGGGAAGTCAACATTACCGCTACATTGCGAAAAATTTCAACTCATTACCGTTACATTTCTTACATTTCTTCGAATTTTCGGGTGATCATCATCGATTACAAGTCATTACCGCTACATATCGAATCAGCAGGCAATGCCACTGAATATAAGTTCATTCATTATGATTCATTATTAGAGTTCCAGACAGCAGTACGTCAAGTAAATGGCCTTCAAAGCTCTTCCAATTATGTAAAGACTGCGTGTTTTATCCATGAACAATGCTCTGTTTTAAAACTTTCTAAAATGTTTTATTAAGTAAAATAGATTTTAAATAAAATACTGAAAAAAAACTGCTCAAAGTCTTACTTTCACTTCCCGTGGTGAGCAGGGAGAACAGGTCTTAGACATGTATTATTTTGTACTTTTAATCAACCTGTACATGCATAAGCCGCTGGCAAGTAGAGGCAGTGTAGCAGTAATGTATACTTTTAAATGTAGCGGTAATGTAATCTTTTTTGTAGCGGTAATGAGTATGTAGCGGTAAGACAATTTTGAAAATGTAGCGGTAATGATACTCACCCGATTTAGAAATATATTCACCTCGCACTTTTGTTTTTTGTTTGTATGTTGTTTAACGTCCCTCTCGAGAATTTTTCACTCATATTGAGACGCCACCACTTGCCGGTGGAGAGCTGCAAATTTTGTCCTATACTCGGCACTTACGGCCATTGAGCAGTGAGGGATCTTTTTCGTGCCAGCACCTACTGCGACACGGGACCTCGGTTTATACGGTCTCATCCGAAGGACCGGTCTCCACGTCCCGCAGTGGGATTCGAACCCGCGAGGTAAGGATGAACTCCTTACTTCGCGACTCTAGAGCAGACGCTCTAACCACTGCGCCACCCTCGCACTTTTGGGCTCGGTGAATATTATACTCCTTGGATATATAGCTTAATCATCATATTGACCTCAAAAACTGCAATTTTATATATTGCATATTTTGCTTTAGACGAAATATAATGAGTTGCAATATTTCGATTTTTGAATTTATATTAATTTACCATAAACCACTTTCAATTAATAATTGTCCTCAATTATATACTACATTTTTTCTGGAGATAAGACATTCCAGGCTCTATAATAGCTGATTTTCCTGAATTTGTGTCAAATATATTCAGTAAACATTTGTATGATTCAAGACTTTCGTTTGAAAGGCCAGTATCTTTCAAGGGTCTCTTAAATTAGAATCATATCTTTTGACATAATGAGAAAGCATTTCTCGCGATCTTAATTTGTATAATCTGACGGATTTAGCTGATATAAAATAGGAAATAAAGGGAATTATTTCACATATTTACTATATTAAGTTATATACTGTGACGTGCTGTACTAATAATTCGAATCACTTCTTAATTCACTTGTGTTCCACACAGACCTAAATGTTCGAAGGAACATGAACTATAGCTGTACATGTACAGGTCCACTTTATTTTGATATATTTTATACATGTTTTACGGTTATTATGTAAAATTTGTTCATTGTAAGATTATATTTATTCTTTTTAATCATTAACAAGAAACATCTGTGGTACATGAAAATGATGCATGTTTCTTTAATGATTTCTGAAGATCTTTGTTAAAAAACAAATAAAATGTGCATAGACTGTATGCACTCTTGATATATTTATCAATAAAGAGATGCACATTTTTTATAAATGCAGTTTCAGCAAATCAATACACGAGCGTAATAATCATGCATTTAATCAGCGCATATTGATTTCATTTGAATGCAAATGAAAGTTGAGCTTATATCATAAATGATTTTTCTTACAACACAGATCCCCCAACCATGACCATCCATACTCCTGGTCATTCAATAAGACTTTGATAACGTCTTCAAATGAAAATCTTTGTTCAAAATTAAAGCTGTCTGAGAAGCCCCCCCCCCCAAAAAAAATAATTTTGCAAATATTTACTACATTCAGTAGAAAACAAAGCATATTTACTGTTGTGTCTCCCCTCATTTTTTCAATAATTAATACTATTCAATAGAAAGGAAAAAACAATTACCAGTATATTGTTGTATTCCGCAATAGTAACGTATTTTTTTTGGTTGCTTGTCACGAGTTTTCATAGACTTTGCCCCTCCCCCAACTTAAATTGCCCCGTATGGGCCTGTGATTCAGAACACAAAATCATCACTGCAATCTCATGAAAACCTTTCCTATTCAAGGCCATCGGAAAGGGGTTGGTATTGCTTTGAGTGCGATAGGATCCCCTCATTAAGGACTCAAAAATAATTTTTGAAAAAAAAAAATAATTCACTAGTCATGTGTTTAAAGTCATGCCGCTAGATTGTATTGTTTATTTGATATTTGAAAAAAAACTTCCGAATTGCAACAGAACCCACCAAAATGGTACCCAGTTTTTTTTTAATCTGGCTGAAGGGAAGGTTACCCTTCCGGGGCCTCCTTCGCACCCCCCCCCCCTTTTCCAGAAATCTTGTGACGGCTCTGCAGTGTAGGATATGCCACAGAACCAGGATCATGTATACACCTGAGTTCTGAGTTCTGCAGCCTATGTAAGATAATAATTCAATCTTAGATTTAAAAAAAAAAGTTTGATAACTGTTTCAAAATTCCATTGCTCGGTAGCCTTGAGTTTTGATTGGTCCTCGAGTCAAGATGGTGACACACTTTCGCAACAGCATACTAAAAGTTGCATTGTAATCAGAGGTTATGTCTTTGTTTAAGATTTCCTTGACCTTGCTTCGGTTTCGGGTCAAGGGTGCATCTGATTAATCGTCTTTTCTGATTTTTAAAACGAGGTAAGTTACTGACAAACAAGTTGATGAAACAAGAATATCAGCAGTCTCGTTTAAAGTCATCCTTTCGTAAGTTCTATGGTCGATACAATGACCTTGTCAGCAAATACAATCTATCATTAAGTCTAATGCTTACTGACTTTTTTCATACTAATTGTTAGGCCATTATTTACACACTGAATTGTCGACGGATTTTTCCGTTATTTCCGGATCATGATAAGGAGCACACAGCGGGTGTGACCGGTCGGCAATGGATGCTCACTCCTTCATGGCACCTGATCCCACCTCTGATGTCTTTGAGGTCCGTGTTTGCTCTGCCCCTCTTTTGTAATGTTTAATAGACTTTTGAGCTCCAATACTGTTTGTTATCTCCACATACTTCATTAATTCAATTGTGTTAACACATCAGTAATTTGTTATGTAATCTGCCTATAGATTGATGATGTTCGAGAGTCATTTGCGCGCAATACAGTATTTTATACTGTAAATTTATAACGGTATTTCTTGACTTCGACAGTAACATTTGTATTTACTAGGTAGATACATGTACATATATCCTTTTCATGTACCATTTTTTCCGGTGCGCCCTCTACTTAGTACCGTGTCCGCGTTCGATGTCTTGGACACGGCTATGTATCCTGTTGTAATTTGACACGTGTTGTACAGGGTCAGATTTTCAGTTATTATAATAGAAGCTGGGCAATAAATCTTAGTGTGTAAATGCATTAAACGGGATCCCTGTACAAGCTGTTACTTCCAAAAAAACTATCGATAGAAAGCCTTTACCATTCAAGGCAGCAACATCTTTTCAATTGTCCCGAAGACTTCTAGATTAAATCAAGCTTACCAGTAAGTAAATTCATAATTATAATTAGAAGTTTCCATTAGAAAAATTCTGTATAATATTTGTTAAGTATCGGTTAAATAACTTTTTTACTTGTTTGTGTGATGTTTAAATATTATAAAGGTGAAAGTTTAAACAAAAAAAGTACGAGTACTACAGATTTGTATACATGCACGCCTTTTTTTTTTAAATACATGTACTTGGAATCCCCCGCATACCCTTTTTTTTGTATATTTTCATCATCGACGACTTACATATACTGGTTCTGCTGCCACTGGTGTTAAATTGGT